ATCAACCATTGTGACCGGTTAAGTTCGTGCCTGAAAGTCCTGCTTCAACAAGAAGAGCCTCCCACCCATCAATGCTGCATGAGTTCCGGTTGTAAGACATCTCACCGATCTCTAAAGAACATTACCGCAAGGCTGGACAAGGGGGGTTGTGGCTGGGAGGGCCTGGGCATTGGCGGCCTCTAAAGAGGTAGCGCTACACATGGATGCTTCCATTTAATTTTATTTGGCAACAAAACAGGGCTGATATCCCATTGAGCAGGGGGTTGGACTAGATGACCTCCAAGGTCCCTTCCAACTTTATTATTATTACTACTACTACTACTATTATTATTATTATTATTATTATTATTATTATTATTATTATTATTATTATTATTATTATTATTATTATTATTATTATTATTATTAACAAGTTCTGAATATTTTTTTCAATTTCCCAGCCTGGTCCACACCCTTAATATTTCCTGGTTCTTTCTTATGCAAGTGCTAATCAGGTCCAATCTTTTAGCTAAGATCAGCTAGATGCTGCCTAGACTACCATACAGGTAGTCCTCAATTTATAACAGTTCATTTAGTGACTGTTCGAAGTTACAACAGCACTGAAAAAAGTGACTTATGATTATTTTTCACCCTCACTACCGTTGCCGCATCCCTGTGGTCATGTGATCAAAAATTCAGATGCTGACTCATAGTTATAATGGTTGCATGTCCTAGGGTCATGTGATCAGCTTCTGGAATTTTCTGACAAGCAGAAGCCAGATTCACATAACAGTCGTGTTACTAACTATTACTAACGTGTTACTAATCATTGACTGCAATGATTCACTTAAGAACTGTAGCAAGAAAGGTCATAAAACAGAAATTTTGGGCTCAATTGTGTTGTAAGTACGTCTGTATAGTTCATATTTTGTTTTATTTCATCACTGACCAAATGTCTGCAGGTACTGTACGTTCAGACAGCAGTTCATACTTTCTATTATAGCAGGGAAATATTGGTTGTGAGATTAAAATATAGGCAGAATCAAAGAAGATTAAGACTTTTTCCTTGTTAGCCCTGTAGTAAATATTAGAAATAGTATTTTTAATCTGTTATTCCAGAATGGTTCTTTCTGTCAAAAGTTTATCTCCTGCTTTGCTACATAATAAGATGGCACAGCCATTTCCCAATCTCCCTGCAGGACTCCATTTGGCTTTTGATGGTAAGTTATTGTTTTTTGTTGCTCCAGGTGTATTAAATGGGTGTGTGGTAGGAGAAATAGACTGATTGAATGAATATTCTTTCCTCCCGGTACTGTTTATTTCTTTTAATTAAGATTGAAATTCTCTGGGTGTCTGTTTCAAAGTCAGCCTTAATTGGCTTTGATTTCAAGAAGACTTGATGCATACCCATGCTCATAAGATTGCAGCCTTACTTCTCCGAAAACAGCTAAGTGGCTATAAAATGCATATCTAAAATAGCAGTAAACACTGGGAGGTTGGAGAAACCTCCCAATAACCATAAGTAACAATCTACTAAAGCAAACAAAACAATTCCTATAACCAGCAGCAAGGTAATTAAAAAGTAATCAGTGCCGCTGATCACTGAAGGCATTTTTTTTGACGGCAGGATTCTCGCTCCTCAGTCCCTCCAAGTCACTTTGAAGCTGAAGCCCAGAGAGCAGGAAAAGAAAATGGAGTTAATCTCCCTCTAGCTGAGCAATCAGAGTGTAAAAATTTATTAAATCACTACCTTGTTCCAAACTACTACAGACGGTAAAACAACAAACATCCTCTCAGTCTCCACTCTGCATGCAAAATAAATATAATAAACCACTCTCTGCCCAGTCTGGGTTTCTGTGCATTTATCTGGGCATCCGGGGAGGGAACATTTTGTATAAAGCTGTCAAAGCTCCATCCCTCTGTTACATTTGAAGCCTTTTGCTACCCATGATGGTAAAAGGTAGGCTAACAAAAAACCGTTCGACTACGGAAACGGTCATCGATATTAGTAAGTTCAACGAAACCGTCGACGTCACCTCCTTCCCTACTATGAACAGTACCCTTTAAGTCTTCACGTCTCGTATCGTGACTCCTCTTCTCGGTACAAATAACACGACTATTAACGTGACGCAACGTGACGAAATGTCTTTTCTCCCTCGGACGTGTTACTTTTCATTTTTACAACCCGGTAATCCTTTAATTCAGAGTAGAGTCGGGGCTGGACAGAAAAGCAAAATTTTTATAGAAGTTGAGGAAATCCCAGGGATCCAATTTGCTGGAAACTTTTGAGGCAGCTAATCAGGGCCTTGTCCCTGCCCCTGCTGAGGAAGCACATTCACTTGTTTGTTAAAATGGATTTGTACCTGCAAAATCAATACCCGTGGTGCTTTTTTGGTTACTTGCAGGCACGCAGAACAGCAAAACATTTGAGTTGCCAGATGCATACATTGCCAGGTGGTTTTAAACTCACTAGTTCAATATTTGTGGTAACCTTATAGAACATAACTACCACGAATAATGAGAATTGACTATGTCAGGAATAGGGTATTGATGGTTACCTTATAACAACAGCAGCAGCAACAACAACAAAAAATATTCTCACCACAAAAGCAATTGCTTAAAGAAATCCAGGTGCTTGGCAGCAACTGGTTCCTGCTGGAAGACAGGAGGGAATCGGGCATAATCTATTTTAACTTAACACTGTTTTTCTCTCTTTAGCTACAGTCCCGGGCACTGGGGGAATGTTGCAAGAATCTGCATAGAGCCAAAATAGCTCAGATCAATGCCAGTTGTATTTTAAAGTGAAATCAGCAGTGTTGCTATGTGAATCTGTAAAACCATCAAGCCACCTGGTCCCTCTTAAGGACCTACAGCAGAATACTATCAGTTGGAGCTGGGAGTGGAGAGGCAATATGAGAAAAGAATTCTTACTACTACCCATCTGAACACAGAGCTACTATGTGAGATTCCTTTCTCTTTGATTGTTAGTTCTGATATATTTCTCGGAGTAGAATTAATCAGTCTAGCAGCCAAACGCTAATGACTGACTAGGAACTAATTTTGGAGAGGCACAAATACCCACACGTGGATTTTTTGTAGGATAGTTACATTTTTTTTTCTCAAATAATATATTTGTAAGGTACAAGCTCTAAAAATAAACAACCAAATGAGGCTGGCTGGAATGAGCTTTCTTAGGGACACATTCTAGAACAATGATGCCATGACTTGTATCTCATTGCCACAAATGGAGAATCTTTGGCTTATGGCCAAAGATAAAAACTTGATAAAGTTTCCTTGCCAGGATAAAAACTTGAGACTTTTTAGCTCAGCAGATTTTCAGGCCTTTCTTGCTGCCATGCATTGGTGACTCTGATTTCTGTGGGTTGGTGAATGGGGGATGGATCTCAAAAAACGTTTCCAAGATGTTAAACAACAGCTACATGATGGAAAAGAAAAAGGACACACATGTCATTGGTTTAACAAAGTGAACCAGGAAAATGAGATGATACCAACAAACAATATACAAAGATCTAGAATAGTTATGGGTTACCAGAAAAGAAATGGGTTTGGTCTTCCAAATCCATTCCATTCCTATTCAGAAATTGCACTAGCCATAACATAATTATGTGGGAATCCAGTTAGTTGTGACTTAGTCAACAAACCAGAGTTTTTCAAAGAAATTGCTATGTAACACAATGTGCATTTTCAGTCATGGTATGGTTTCAGAGGGGAATGAAATAACTAGGTACACTTGGTCCACAGAAGAGATGACTGAAGGGACGTTTGATAGTAATCTTCAAACAGCAGAAGGGTTGTCTCATCGAAGAAAGAGTGGACTTATTATCCCAAAGGGCAGGACCAGAACCTATAGGTCAGGGGTCTTCAAACTTGGCCCTTTTATGACTTGTGGATTTCAACTCCCAGAACTCCTCAGCCAGGCACGCTGGCTGAGGAATTCTGGGAGTTGAAGTCCACAAGTCATAAAAGGGCCAAGTTTGAAGATCCCTGCTATAGGTTAAAATTACAAGTAAGTATGCTCAGGTTAGATGCAACGAGGAGCTTCCTCACTGTATGAGCTCTCAGCCAGTGAAACAGACTGTCACATAAGGTAGAGAGGTCAGTTTTGCTAGAGGTCTTCCAACAGAGGCTAGATAGACATCTGCAGAGATATACTACTGGATCCTGAACTGAGCAGGGGGATGGCTTAGGTAACTTGTACTACCTCTTCCAACTCTCTGATTCTAAATTTTTATGCAAAAGTGGTAAGCACTGATTCAATGAGGCATTGTCTTCAATCTGTCATATTATCTACTTCACAGGATTATTTGTGAGATATGTGACAAGAGAATTGCAAAACAATTTGTTCCCTCAGTAATACTCTAATCCAGTCAGTAATTGTTATCTAAAAGAAAACATGAATGAGGAAAGGCTGTGAGGTGGCAATTTTGTCTACTCAGTAAGCAGAAGGTCCCTCAGTAAGCAGAAGGTCCCCCCCCTCTCTCTCTCTCTCCCTCCCTCCCTCCCTTGAGAATTTACAGCATCTTTTCTCTACTGGGGATGTACGTTTGCTCATGTTATTAGCTCCTGGAAGCAAAGGCCCAGCGCACATAATCCCCTTTCCTATTATTGTTGAGACTTTTTCAGAGTTAAGGTGCTGCCAGGTCACTCCAGTGCTCATCGTGCAAATCCCCAGGAGAGACAGGCCAGCAAAATCTCTTCCTCACGCCACCGGCATCTCAAGACTCCTTAGAAAACATGGTTGCTATGCAGCCTTGTTTGTTCACGGTAGGTGACACTGTTTGCTGGTCTGCATGTGTAACCTGCAAGTGCAAGCTTATTAGCCTAGTGCTGAAGAGGGTTGGCCTTGAAGGGATACCCACAGCTTTTGAAAGCTGCCGAGGAAGGACAAAATTATTAAGGGGAAAGGAAAGCAGTTGTACCCACCTTCTGAGGCTCTGCCACAGACAGCACATTTGTTCAGGATCCTGACATAAAAGACTAGAGCAGGTGAGTGACAAGAACTGCCTTCACTGCTATTTGAGGGATCAGCCCTTTCCTCTAAGGCTGTTTACTCTGCCACAAGCACACAGCCTGTAGAACTTGTCATGCAGCCCTTAAGCTATTTTGCATATATTTTTTAATTAAGGGATAAATGCTGTTCCAGATCTGGTACAAGGCTTCCCAGGTGGAGAGGCTATACAAACCCTTCAAAGAGAGGAGTAGCTGTTTCTGGAAAACTCAAAAAAAAGGCCATCCAGGAGATCCTTGTAAGGAGTGCTATAAGAGTGTAGTGTAAGAGTGAAGCTGAGGAGGATATGATGAGTTCTTACTTCTGGTGGCCGATGAAATATCTAGAAATTTGCAATGGCCTCTGTGAAAATTAGTGACAATACAGTAGATCATGGGGCAGAAAAATGATCTCAGAGTAATTTACCAACCAGCCAATCATTTTATCTTTTTGTAAATCGCATAAATTGTGAGGTGGAATATTGGAGGGAAAAATCATCAGGTGGAAATGTGCACATATGGGCTCGTCCACTGTGGTTGAGGGTTATGGAAGCTGAAGTCCCCCTAACCGTCCCAAAACAGACTTACAGCATCTGGGATTAGTGGCTTACCCCAGTGGAACTGTCATTTAATAATCATAAGTTATATTAGGCAGTGTTTGTTTGTTCTTGTCTTGATGTAATGCACAAATTTACCAACAGTGGGTTAATATTATGTATGAGTTACTCTGGTGTGTTCAATAAACCAAATCTGTTTAAATATAGCCAATTGCTTTTATCAAATGTGTGAAAAGTTGAAGCCCAGCAACTCTCTGGAAAGCTAGTTCCTGAAGATACTTTGCATTATGGATGGTTTATGGCATTTTTTTCTGGAAAAGGATAGAATAGAGGAGTCTCCAGCCCATGGTACCAAAATTCCTAATAAAAAAAGTAGATTGACTCAAATTCCTTTCTATTAGAGTTCAAGCAATCTAAAATTTAAACAAACAAGGGTAATTTAAGTTGTATGGCTTTGAAATATGAAGCTCTACCAAAAACCTCATAAGCTTCCTATTGGTTTTTAGAAATTTGAATAATGTTTTGATGGCTGTGTTACTATTATTAGTTATTATAATTTTGCAATTTCTATACTCCAATAATATGGATTAATGTTTTTTGTTTTTTTTTACTGAGGAGTTTGAGAAACTTGGCAGAGATGCCATTCATCTGATGTTGTTTGTTGCACTTTGGCGATGTAAACACATGATGTTTTCTGCTTCTTCAAAAGTCTTATTGTGTCTAAGCCTGGGAATAATTTCTCTGAATTTCTCTCTAATCCCACCATTCATATATCCTTCAAGTTTTTCCTCTGTCTCTTGGTTTCCATACTTTACTGCAGCATTTGTCAACTTTAGCAACCTTAAGATGTGAGGACTTCAACTTCCAGAATTTCCCAGCCAACTGACTGGCTGGGAATTTTTGGAATTGAATTCCACATATCTTAAAGTTGCCAAAGTTGAGAAATACTGCCTTATTGTACCTGGTGCCTTGAGGAATTCTAAGCATTTGAAGGAACTCCAGATTCTTCTGCTTCCCATCCATCTCTACTTCCTGTGCTATTTCACTCTCTTGAATTATAGAGTCCAGGTTTCTCTGGAAATCCCTGTTGTTTCAGTGATGCATAAGTATAACAAATTAACTGAATGAAGGCTGAATAGTGAAGTATTATCCTGTGCATCTGTGCATCTTGCAGCCTCCCTAGTAAAGATAGTAAATCCCAGGCTTTCTTTGGAGGACCTGATTTGACCCATAGACACAGGCTGCAATGTCTGTGAGGGAATGCTTGCTCTTTCCTTCTGGAAATTCCTGATAAAGTTTTTAAATTTCTGGCCATTCTCCTGCCATTGACAAGAAATATGAGCTTTTCAGCTCCCCATGGGGTATGAAGCAGACGCTCCCTCAGCACATTATTAGAGATGTTTGCTGGTACGCTTTCTCCCTCTGGATTATTGCCTTGCTGCTTGCTACTTACTGCAATACAGTGTGCCTCAGTATTGATGCTAGAAACTGCTTGGGAAGCTGGAGAGAGGAAGACGACAACTTTTTTTGGTTTAGAATCTCTTGTCCCCTAAGTACAAAAAGTAAAAAAAAAGAAGCAGAAGTGGGCAAAAAAGTGAAACAGCCCTAAGGCTCCTTCTCTTTGATGGTAAGGGGGAGCAACAAAATATTCGAGCAATTTAAGATTGACAAATTTTTACTACTATTATTACTCAACTAACTAGTCTATCTTTAATGAATAATGTTGAGTCTGCTTAGCTGTTTCTGAGCAGTTGGCCACTCTGGAATAATCTCTTCTGGTTTCATGAAATGTGTGAAAATCAGAAGTTATAGACTTGAGAGATGTTCAAATTATTCTTGGCTCACCCACATAGTCATGCTTCCCTGATAAAAGACCAACTAAAAACTTCTCAGGCAATTTTTTTTTCTTTCTTTCTTGTAGTCTAGTTAAACCCAAGTGACAGGTCTGTGCTTTAGAGTTTGGCTATACATATTTTAGAGTTATTAGAACACAATCATTCAATAATTCTTCCAGGATGCCTGAACTGACTGTGTCAAGTCTTACTTCTGAATTGTAAAGCAGAACTATTGATCCATAATCTTGGCTCTTGTATTCCTTTGATCCAAAAGTTGCATTATTACTTCTGTCTGCCACATTTATATGTTATGACAAGAAATTGGAACAGGTTTTCTCTGTCCTCATTATGGAAAAATAACTAACATACTGTAAATCTAAAATAAATAAAAAGATTTCTGATTCTTTACCATTTTAATCTAAATCTCTATGTTAAGAAATATTGAAAAAAAACTTTCTTTGGATGTCATTTGGATTAGTCCTAATATATGTATATTACTTGGCATGGATTTCATTTTTTCTTCTTTTTAATGTAAAACATACCTATATATTCATTTAGCATAATGTATTTGGCTTTTGTTAGTTAATGGAAGGAGCAAAGAATAATGCATCTTGCCTTTAGCTCTTACAAAGACTGCTCTTATGTCCTTGTCCCTCTGAATGCTACCAGTAGCTCTACCTGTTGGAACTTGACTTTCTTATAACATTAGAAGCATACAGTTTGCATTTTAAGAAAGCCAAGATCAGTAGGCTGCTTCTTAGAATCATAGACTCTTATTTTTCCGGAACACATACTGTCTCAAAATGCTCAACTGTTTCTTTCTGCCTCTCTCTTGACCGTTCTATCTCCTTATCTTTCCTTTTTACATGTACACCTTGTTCCTTCCCTTTAGATTAAAAACAAGTTTTACATTCCAATGTGTTATGTCTTATTCCTAAAGCAGTCACTCTGCTTGATAAATAGAATGGCTATACTGATTAGTGTGAATTGGCCAACGTTCTGGCTAGTATTATGCTTATTTAATATTTGTTCTAGCAGCAGCATTACGCAAGATATGAGTAGGACTTAACCAGCTGGAAAGGTATGTAGTTTTATTTCAGTCACCTTTTTCTTATCTTTTCAGTGAATTCACAGCTATTACAGATGGTTCATATCTACAGAGCAAAGTTAGTAGCCAGATGGTCTCTTTATCCATTAAGCAGCAAGCAGCTGTCTCCCTATTATTAGCTTGGATTATAGTCACTAGGTCCAAAACTGAAATCTTATTCTCCTATGTACAATGCAAGAACATTCAGTATAAAATAATTAGGAAAGATTAAATGTTGAAATAAGAGATCCTGCCACAGTTTTCATTGTTAGTGAAATATATATTTTAGGTGAACTCTTATTAGCCCATTGCAGAAATTATTTAATGAACATGAATCTATGAGGCATAGAAAGTGAAGTTTCAGCTTGTGGAGTCATGCAGAAACTAATAGGTAGGAAAGTCAAATCATGAAGGTAACATACAAATGGCCCAGTTTTTGTAATTAGGTGGCAACTCAATTTTTGCCCATTCTTCCAAGTCCACTCTTTGGACTAGAGAGGCAACTGAAAACCTCTCAGAGAAGTGACGTATTAAAGCATGCTGTGGTTCCTCAAGTAAATGGTGGGCTGAATGCCAGCAGACAAAATGATCGAATCAGGTTCAGGAGCTTTTTGTGTTGACCTTGATTGTACAGTTTAGCTAAGAACAAAAAGTTCTTTACTCATGCACATACCAAAATGCAAAGCACTAAGAGCTCACTGCTTTCAGAGTTTCAATGGTAAATTCAAGTATGAAAATTTAAAATATGAGCCAGACTTAAAATGTAAATATTTCTTCACATTTTTGACATTAATTGCCAATTCTCTCCCATTTTCTCTGCTCAAAATCTATAATTATTTTGTGCTGGTTTTAATTGCTTTAGAACTATTTGGCACCCAGGGTCACTTGGTTGAGATGGATCACAATAGAAATTAAATCAATAAACTATAATATAATATGTAACTGTATCTAACCTGCACTTGAACTACTAAAAGTTGCCTACTTACTGGCATGTCTGGCTCAGCTTTGAGGAAATATATTAAATACATATCCGATACAATGAGAGTCGCTTTAAAAAAACCAGAAAGAGAATAGAGAGACCTGATATTTAGCATATGATGAGCCTGTATTTGTGGTGGACATACCTGTATATCATCAGTAAATACTAAAATAATAAGAAAGAACGTATATGTTTGAACCAGTCCTTTTTCTCACGAAGAACAAATGCCCCAACTCATAGACTGATTTAATGTTGAAATGAGCAGGGAGAGGAATTGGAAGCTGTTCCCATCATGAGCGTCTTCATGACAAGATTCTGATCTAAAAGTCATTGAAGTGAAAAGAAGCATGTCATTGACTGCACGGTCCCTAAGAAGAATGAATGAGAATATACTCTCTGTCCTTGCGTCTTTGTTTAACTGTGAAAGCTTGTTGCACAATCCATCAGCCACCTTTCAGAAATCCGTGCATCTTGGCCACAGCTCTAATGGAGACAGTCACAATATGTACTCTGAAAACATTGGGCAAGGTGTTTAAATAATT